GGACCTTGGAGGTCCAGGTAGGTCTTAGAGAATGTACTCCCTCTTCATCGAAGAAAAGAGAAGTATTGAGGCCAGCCCGAGGGCGATGAAGGCCGTTGAGCAAATGGTGCATGGTAGCAATCCCTTCGCAAGACTCATATGCAGATTGAATAGTTTTGGGTGCCATTGAGTTTGGAAGAAATATGAGAAGAAGATTGGGAATAAGGGGCAAGAATTGAGAGCAAAAGAATTCTAAAGGTTTTGAGAAATCTGGGATTTTGGAAGCTCGGAGGATTAAAATTGCTAAGGTACTTGGCCAAAGGATTTAAGTGAAGATTATATAGTAGACAATTATTTAACATTTAAAATAGTAGGTTAGTGCAAATGTTTAGTTAACCAACGACTGTTTTAAATGGTGCAAGTCCCGAGTAAAAGCATGCGACAGCTGTTGAATCATCATTAATGCCTCGATTTGCAGACTCAACAATGATTAAAGGGGGCATTATTTGGGTTAATATTTGAATATTGGGCTTGAATGAAGGAAAGCCCAAGGATGCCAACTAAAAGAGAGACTTGCCCAAAGCCCAGCATCAAGCCCAGAAACAAATTGAAGCCTTCTCAGCCAAGATACAAGCCACATGTCTATAATTGAAATGACAAGTAATGGAGACTGACCTACTATCAGCCAAAGAACACTTTCCAATGGCATTACTAGTAAAAAGTTGATGACTCACTACCCTCCAAGTGCTTTCGGGTAAGAGCAAAAGCTACAACAATCATGCCAAATTGTTTATAAAAGGGAAGACAAAACCCAGAGACAAAGGACACTTAACTAATCAAACAAACAAACATAGAAACTTTGCTATCAAACCAGATTTGCATCCAAAAAACTAAAATCATCCCAGATTCAGTATTTTTAGCGATAGTTCTTTAGAAAAGCTATCTCTTGTCTAGTATAAAAGCTTTGCTACCTCCCTTAGTATTGTAGTATTGATTCCCTCGTGTAAACTTGTTTACCATCCATCCCTTTTTAGCATATAACCCCTGTAAATTCAAAGAGAAATGACTGCAAGAAGTTCAACCTTGCCAGACAAGGTGAAATCTTGCCCGAAGCTCTTTGTTTGTTTTCTAATTTAGTAGATCTATTGCTTAATGTATTCTCCAGCATGTATTCAAGTTATTTCCACTTGTTTTTCTATTTTAAGAGTCCCATTTGCATCTAGATTTGGTTAGCTTAATGGATATGTTTCCATTAAGAGCAGTTTAGGATCAAACAAATAACTTAAGGGGCTCTGGACTCCCTTCATTCAAACATACAAGACCATGAACTAAAAGTCCTTGCTTACAAGGCAAGAAAAAGAACTTAATACAGACTTAACCCATATGTGACAATCCTTTGATAACAAGAAGTTAGGGTAACTTGGGGCTCAAGTAATCAACTTAAAACACACTTGTTCTACATCTGCTATACTGAGATAGCAGTGGCACGTCTAAGCATTTAGTTAGTTTTGATTGCGAGCCTCAAGGCCTACACCTAAGGCCCCACAAAGGCACCTTTCAAAACTAACTTTAAGTTCTTATTGTAGCACACCAGGCAAGCAAGAGCTCGACTACCAAACATAAACATCTAAAGTGCCAATTCCTTGGGGAGCTATGCTGAGGTCCAAGGAGTGTTATCCAGAGAAATCTTTGCCCGAACAAGTTGTTCTAAATATTTAATTCATTACATCAAAGATGAAGACATGGAATTTGGGTTTTAGGGTTTCTCAAAACAATCATCAGAAGAGTTTACGCACGCGATGTATCATGAACTACTCTCGTTAATCTATTCTTCATTAAAGACTGAAAAAATTACGAATTGTAGGCCTTCGATTTCTTCCCTTCGACTTCAGGGGGCGGTTTCTCCTTGAATGGTAGGAACTCCTTTCCACCCATGAAAGGTTGAAGAACTTTTGGTACGTTTACACCCTCTTCAGTCTGGTAGTTCTCGAGAATGCAGCATACAGTTCTCTCAGTCGCTGTAAGAGTCGAGTTCAATAAGTGAACATATTGCTTTGTCTGCTCTTTGCTCTGCAAAAGAACAAGGGCACAATGAGTAAAAATATAATATTTCAATAGGTAACCATACATTCTATGTTTTTTTATATAGGAAACGGTAGACCATACATTCTATGTTCAATTAACACCATATGAACAGAATTTTTCCTAAATTTGATCAGAGCATACAGTTCAATGGTATATGACCTACTGTAAAAGTATTATTCATCTTATTTTCAATTAAATTTCCGAGGCACGAATTATAAATCTTTACGTTAATTAGGAGTACATTCCGCAGTAAACAGAAATGTGAAATAATGTCGGATTTCCGAGGACATACCTTTTTCTGCCCATATCGAATTTCTAACTTTCTTGACTGGTAGTCCGTACAGTTTGAACAAGAAGCCAGCATTTTTGCTTAAAGAGAAGCTGAAGGGAGACAAAAACAGCATTTTTTGATCTACGGAAGCCATGTTCATCACAAGGAATCAAGCCATTGGCCTTCTGTTGATTTTCTTGGGCATCTCCGGCTTGCGCGACGACGGCGTATCCGGAGCTAGATGTTTAAACGAGAAGGTGGAGAATCTGGGGAAGCCTCGAGTTTTCAACTCAATTGGAGCAGATGAAGGTTTTTTTGCCACAAGCAACAGAAAAGTGCCGTCTTCTCCTGACCCATTCCACAATAGGTAGGTTTTCCAGAACAACACAAATATCTTGCTTAGTAGAAGTAGAAGCTCCTATATTGTCAGGAAAGTTCAGACAGTTTTTGTACTTTTTGGATCTTTTTTTATATATACACAATGTATTTTGAGAACCTTAGATTTATAGGTTTACAAGAAATTATATGTTTTGGCCTCTGGTAAATGTGAGTTTTGTTACTGCAAATTCGAAAGTATAAATATCATATCCAGCATATAGCTTTATTGGGAAAAGTTCTTTTAAGAGTAACAAATATGATACAAGCTTATTGATTTGATTGAAGGGAAATGATACTATTTATTAGCTTAGTTAGCGTTCCGGGAGAATCTAATCATCAGTCAGTTCTTAACAATTTCTGTAAAGCAAGAGGCGAAGCTTCGTAGACAGCTTTGCCCCTTCGTCGTTTCTGGCAAAACTGCAAGTTCATGAGCAAGTGAATGAAAGAGTCATGTTCCTTAAAGGAGTGACCATCTTTGTGTTTTTCTTCCCTTCCCTTGTCCCCTCAAAGCCCTATTTTTAGTAGACTAGGCTTGTAACCGTAACATATTTAAGTAGGCTCGAGAGCTTCGCTCAGCGAAATGGCCTTACTATTATATTCATAAAACACTTTTTTCAAATCCCGGCAATAATTCTTACATGTAACTGGAGATATAAACTCTCTTCACGTGACTTTTTCGTGTGTAATGTGAAAGAGAAAAGGGATATAAAATCATATTATACATGCTCAATTCCAATCAACAAAACTATGGGTGGCTTTGATGTTGAATACATAAAATTATTGAAGCAACCATACAAAGTAGGGAAATAGACAAGATCATATGAGCTGGGAAATGGGAATCTCCATGTCATATTGTGGACAAGAAAGATAATCTAAAATTTGATGCTTCAAAATCATCGCGCTTTTGACTTCGACAGCAAAGCAAGATTGCAAATACAGTAATTTCCACGATTTTGATCCTAATCATGCAAAAAATTGAACAATATTTGGCTACTAAAAAATGAGTAGAACTCCTACTCAAAACTCTTAGGGTGTGTTTGTTTCCCTTCGTTAAGTCTCACTAGACTGGACTGGACTAAAAGTTAGTCTAATCTTGTGTTTGTTATAGGGAGGGATTACCTTTAATGGTATTAAGTGGGACTCGTCCCGACTAACACCTTCGTTAGAAGGTCTTAGCGAGACCCCCCAAATACGAGAGGACTGCTAAGCCCCTTCTCGCTTCGCTCGCTTCACTTCGTCTGCTTCGTTTCGTCTTCTTCATATGCTTCGTTTGTTTCTGTCTTCTCTTTGCACCGACAGCCCCACCCACCCCACTCCTCTTCTTCGACAGCTGTTCAATTCACCTCTAGTCTGCTTCTCTCCTCTTTGCACCGACATCCCCACCACCCTACTCTTCTTCGTCGTCACGCAAATTGCAGATTCGTCTTGAAGCGAGAGAGGAGAGATTCGTCTTGCAAATTGGGATTCGTCTTGCAGCAAGAGAGGGGAGATTCGTCTTGTAGTCTTTGGGGATTCTTTCTAATTCATCTTTGGGGATTCCTTTTTTTCTTCTGTTTTTTTTTTTTTTTTGAACAAATGCTTTGTCTGTTTGATTGCTGGTGTTCTGCCATTTGATTACTGGTGTTCTGCCATTGATCTTTGGATGTTTGATTTTTTGGTGTCTATATTTCTTATTTTACTTTTTGGTAGATCTTTGGAATCGTCTGAGTTGGTATTTAAACTTGATTATATTTGATAAAGTTTATACATGATTTATTACATATTTTCTTGATTAATTTTGAAATGTTAATTGAGGGTTATCTGAAATAAGTGTGATCTGGGTTTTATGAAATAAGTATGATCAAAATATAGTATCTAAATTTAATAGTTATCCTGCTTCTTAGTCCGACACTGCATCAAACACTTCATTAAATCAGTCCAACTTAGTCTAGTCTAAGCCAGTCCAGCTTAGTCCCTGAAGTTAGTCCAGTCCGAGATAGTCCGGTGCAACAAACGCACCCTTAGTATTTTAATCACAGAGCTTTGTGCCTATAATTAAAACCGTCTATACTATGAATCACACTGTAAATATCATATTTGCAAAAAAAATAGATTAAAACTAAGGTCATCTAGTCAATCTATTGTAGCAAATACATAGACGGCTTATAATACTTTTACCAATACCGATAATTTGTTTTTAAACAGTTTGATGACTAAACAATCTTAGTTGTAATTGATTTTTTGCAGAAGCGATCTTTATAAGGTGATTTATAATATAAACGGTTCTGATTATAAACACGAACTAATATAAATTGACAACGAACAATTTTAAGAAATTTTAAGTACGAGTTCCTACTCATACTTTCATTTTAAAAAATAAAATTAAAAAAATAATAAAAAAGAAATGAAGCTCCAAAAGGCTGTCACGATTTATCCTGTACAACGCAAAATTTCCAATGCGGGTGCAAACTGAAAGCAGCTTATAGGAAAAGCGATTGGGAAAGAAATTTGATTTCTTCATTTCAACATCATCGTCAGTTTTTTCAAACCGAATCCCCGGACGAAGTTGAAGAACGGCTTTTCAAACGCTTTGAGAATCGACGTTGATGTGAATTCCTGACGACCTTGTTTCAAATGATCATGGTGGCGATGGCGAACCCTGCAGCAGAAGAAAAAATAGATTTCTATCAGAAAGGGGACGATGCGACTGCAGAATGTATGAACAATTTACCCTTTCAATGTTCAAAGTAAAACTCAACGTAAATCAACTCTGTTAAACATTACGTAATTAAGGTTTCTTGCGGCGCAAGCATACTCCTCATCAGATATAACTGTGCATATCAGAAATCAGAAGGCAAAATATGAATCTTGTAGGACAAACCAAAACAAAACAAGTTGATCTGAATATATTTAATTCATTACATCAAAGATGAAGACATGGAATTTGGGTTTCAGGGTTTCTCAAAACAATCATCAGAAGAGTTTACGCACGCCATGTATCATGAACTTCTCTTGTTAATCTATTCTTCATTAAAGACTGAAAAAATTACGAATTTTAGGCCTTCGATTTCTTCCCTTTGACTTCAGGGGCTGGTTTGGCCTTGAATGGTAAGAACTCCTTTCCACCCATGAAGGGTTGAAGAACTTTCGGTACGTTTACACCCTCTTCAGTCTGGTAGTTCTCGAGAATGCAGCATACAGTTCTCTCAGTCGCTGTAAGAGTCGAGTTCAATAAGTGAACATATTGCTTTGTCTGCTCGTTGCTCTGCAAAAGAACAAGGGCACAATGAGTAAAATACAATATTTCAAAAGGTAACCATAAATTCTATGTTCAATTAAAACCATATGAACAGAATTTTTCCTAAATTTGATCAGAGCATAGGGTTCAATGGTATATGACCTACTGTAAAAGTATTATTCATCTTATTTTCAATTAAATTTCTGAGGCACAAATTATAAATCTTTACGTTAATTAGGAGTACAGTCCGCAGTAATCAGAAATGTGATATAACGTCAGATTTCCAAGGACCTACCTTTTTCTGCCCATATCGAATTTCTAACTTTCTTGACTGGTAGTCCGTACAGTTTGAACAAGAAACCAGCTCTCTGTATGTCTGAGATGCAGGAAACCATCCTTCCAGATCATACTTCTTTGCTGCGGCATCATTCAAAGCACCAGAAACGATGGACACAATATGATAGGGGAGCCCTAACTGAAAGTGACAATTCAAAATATCAACCTTAGAAATGACACGTATAAACAGAAGATGCACATCTACATTATCCATAAAAAAGTATCCGACTTTCTTCCACAAAAAGCAGGGATTGATGTTGCATCAATCTCTCTGACCAATACAATGGCAAACATGCAATTTAAATATTTTCGTCCCTAAAAGTATAATAAACACAAACCTAAAAGTATGGTCTATGTGCTATAGAAGCCATTTGACACTCCAAAGTGACAGAGTCACTAAATAGCGATTTCCAGACTTGACAAAATAATAAAAAAATATGATAAGGAAACAAGAAAGTCCTCAGGGAATAAATTTATACCGCTTGATAAAATTCCTCTGAGTTTTTGATCATTTCCTCATGCATTTCCCAAGAGTCATTGCCATTTGGGCTTGTAATACAGAATTGTTCAACTTTCTCGAACTGATGAACCCTAAAAATTCCCAAGGTATCTCGACCATGTGAACCAGCTTCTTTACGGAAGCAGGATGAGTATCCAGCATATCTGAGAAAAAAAAACCCTAAAAATTAATGAGCAGAATAAATATATCATCTTTTATACATGAATTTTCCAACAGCATGTTACTACCTTAAGGGTAGCTGGGATGGATGAATCCAATCATCTAGATGATATGCACAAAGTGGCTGTTCAGCTGTAGCAATCAGATATTTGTCATCACCTTCACCAGTAACCTGTTCCACAAAAATAAATTAGTCATCCTCACATAAGGTAAACCAAATGTAGAAAATATGATTTCAATGATGGATTCACTAAAACTTTAGAATGAAAAACATCCACAATACCAAAAAATTCTAGTCTCTTAACAAATTAACACGAAACAAAGCCCACATATTTATAAGTTAAAATTTCACAAAATACGACCTAAAGCATGGGTGCCAACTCTATATGGCCCTATAAAACAAAAACTATTGGCAAATATTACCAGAAATTACCTTGTAAAGTTCCTCATCAAATTGGGCTAATTGAGCGCACTTCCCCATGATATCTTTTCTCATGAAAAATGGGGTCTGCAGTTCTGTATATCCTCTTTTCTCAAGAAAATCAAGACCGAAGTTTATTAGAGCTTGATTAAGGCGTACACCAGCACCTTTCAGGTAAAAACCTCTACCTCCAGCCACTTCAGCGCCTATACATTTTAAGCAGATTGAGTTAAAAACAGTCTAGTACAGAACTAGGCAAATCTGGAGATTATACATGCCATATTCCCATGCCATGTTTAGTAAAAATGTAAAATCATCCATAACTTTTTCAATTCTTTTCAAACCCCATAGACCCCGAAACAGAATGGACTCGATACCTTTCTTCAAGTCTGCGATCCCAAGAAGCTCAACAAGCTCAACATGGTTTTTTAGTTTTGGCTCCACTCGTTTGTCACCCCATGATCTAACCACAGCATTATTCTCCTAAAATACATAAAAACCCCACATCAGAATAAGCATTACATAGAGCAATGGTAAAAGCAAAATCGATGTGCCAAATCATTACCTCATCTTTGCTGATGGGAACCGAATCATGCACAAGGTTTCCAACGATTTCCAATTTTGAATTCAACTGTGTTAAAGCTTCTCGCACTTCAACTTCTTTCTCTGCCGCCAACCTTTTATTGTCCTCTGTGTCCTTTATCACCTCAGTTGCATCCTCTCCCGCCTTTCAATCCAAAATTTTTTAACATTCAGTCCATAAATAAAAATACTCATATTTCAATAAGACACATGCATACTTAAAGAAAACAAATTCAGTCAAACCGCACTTGATGGCATATAAGAATCTGTTCTAATCTTTAAGAGAGAGAATAAAAATCTTATTCATGGTTTAGTGACCTAGGTTTCCACACTCATTCTCATATCTGCATATGCAGAGGGGTCTGCATTACATTCACATGCCAACGAGTGCAGTATTAGACATACTAATATGAACACTCAAGTAAGCATCACCATCACCGTTGCAATTCCATGCAACCACACCAACCCTAGTTAAGCAAATTCCTAATCCATTTCAAAATCGATTGAACTTATTTTTCAAAATCAACGATCTGAAAACAAATTCTCAAAATTCTGTAATTTAAACTAGCAACAGGAAATCAAGGCAAACAAATCCTAGTGGGAAAATATACTGAAACAGACCTAACTTAATGGCGCCGAGAACCGAGATATGATTTTTACAAGTAATTACAATCCAAAATTTCAGGATTAAGAACCCTAATAATGCATTTTCGTAAAACTACCCGAGAATCAAGATAACATTCAGTTAATAAAATTAACAGAGAGACGAAATACTCACAATCCTGAGCTGAGCAACTCGCTTGTTGATCTTGTTGAACTCTTTCCGAAGGCTCTCGAGCTCGAATTGACCTAAAAATTCACATCATTTCACCACAAAAATCAATACTTTAATCCTAATCAAATTCATTCAAAACAAATCTCAATGCTTATGAAAAACTCAAGATTTTTTATAGACATTTTTGAAAAACTCAAGGTTTTAGAGGGAGAAAGAGATAGATATATATAGAGAGATGGAAGATTACGCTGGCGCCATTCTATGTCGAGCTGGATGACCTCGTCGACGATCTCAACGTCTTTGAACCGGCGTCGTTGAGATTCCCGGATGATTTCGGGGTTGTTGCCCTTCTCCTCTCTGAACAGATTGATGTCCAGCATCTTTCTCTTCCTCCGATTGCGAGTGTGCGACTGCGGATGGAAATTTTGGAATCGGAAAAAGTTGGAAGCTTTGCAGAAGAACAACGCAGGCTAACAGTCACTGAATGAGAGTAGTTTACCCCTAAAACCCTAGTTTTTTTGGGCCCATGATTTGGGTCAATCCAGGTTTCCCAAAGCCCATGTCTTTTATCTTTTCCGAAACAACTAATGACTCGTTTACTAATCTAAATCGAGGAGAAATTGGGTTGAGGAATAAATATAATTAGATTCACATTATAGTTGTCTACTAAACTATCTGAAATCGAAGTAGGAATGATATTAGTTTTATACAAGTTGTTTACTAGTTCACTTGAATCGAAATTAAAACTCACTTGATTACTAAATTTTCCTCATTCAAAATAAATAATTTTCATGCTAATTAATAAAATTTCATTTTATATAATAAAATGTATCATATAAAAATAATTAAAGAAAGTTTTCTTTTAATAAAAAGCTAGGCACTTTCGAGTATATGGAGTTCACATGGTTTGATGAAAAAATAACACAAAGTTTACAAAGATCGTTCGATAAGTATTTTTAAACGACTCAAAAAACTTTTTGATAAAATAGTTTTTGAACTAAACCTTACTAAAATATAAGTTAATTATGAAAAAAACACTTGAAGTGCTTTCAACAAGAAGCACATAACTGTTACTATTATCTCTAAAAGCGCTTTCAATCATTTAAAAGCATTTTTCAAATGATCTCTGGTCTTTAATGGGCAACATACGCTCTTTGGGATTATCTCGAGTGTGAATGTGACTGAATATGTTGAGAGTGTGCATTTGCTCTTGTCCAACATTTCAGATGAACAAACACCTCTGGTAGCAGCACCTGTTACACCTTTGATCCAACAGGTTCCTGTGAAAGCCACTCGCACTAAGTTCACTCTCTGGAAAGAAGATCGTGAAAGACGATAACTATCTAGTTTGGCCAACTTAGGATTAATTAGTCTTGCGCTTCGGCGATTCTTAAGATTTCTGCATCTTCTGTTATAGTGCAGCCAAGGTTCTAAAAGACGCTAGATGTTAGTCGGGTGGCGAGCTGGGACCTAGTACCTGAATGACTAGACAGAGCTTAAGTGGGCGCCTAGGCGGACTAGGCAGATTTAAGTAAATCTATTATATTTCGTGTAAATAAGTATCTGTTTATACTTAAAATATATATAATTTTATCATAAACTATAAAATAGAGTGATAAATAAATAAATATATATATATATATATTATGAAGTATTGGAATATAATGAAAACATAGAGAGCAAACATATAATGTGTGTTTATTTAAGTGTTCAATAAGTCTCTTACAATTTATTGGAAATAATAAAATGCAAAAGGAAAGTTATCTATTTTTTGCAACCTAGGCATGTATCTAGGCGGGTTTGGACAGGCTAGGCGGGCGCCTCATCAGCATCATTTATAAATTTTCAAACCCCTAGGCATTAATCGGGGCGGTGGCTAGCCGCCTAACGCCTAGGCAGGCCTAGACGGCGCTAGACGGAGATTTTTAAAACAATGATTGGAATATACGTTGTAGTTGACACCAGTGTCTAATAACTTATATAGCATACCATTAGCTCTGGGTTTGGTTTGTGACCTGAAGGCCAGTGAAGGTAAGTTGGCTGTTAAGTGTTTCAAAATTCTTTATAACGAATAGAAAAACTATGTCTTTGGGAAAATTGACGTTTTGTGTAGAGTTTTTTTTATTTTTTTTACACAAGTGATATTGGGGAGAAAGATTTGAACTTGAGAATGCATTTAGTTTTATGATTCCTCTCTTTATCTTTTGGAAAAACAGATTTTGGTGATGGTAATTGTTCATGCATGACTTGTTATCTTTTCATATTGGTGATGTTGTTGCATCACTTTCGTATGAAAAGAAAAACATGAAACATACATTTAGACAACACAAAACATACATTTAGACAAGAGATAAAAGAAAGTTGAGAGATAGGTTTTTGAGCATATGTTAACTTTGTTGTAATACCTATATACAAATTCAAAAATGTTGCAATTACAAAATTAGGATATTGGGGAAACTGCACTCATTTTACAAACACAATCGCCCACCTGCGATCCAAATTTGACAGAAAAATGAGTAAGATACATAAACTTTCTCTACAGTTTGGTGGGATGACGGTGCACACAATAAGTTTCTTTTTTTTCTTTTCAAATTTGACATTTTAGCCGCCATGGTTACATGAGCAACACTCATATTCGCAAACATTGGAGTGATGACAACTCAATTGATCTATTTTCTCTTCGAACTCAAACTTAGGATATTGGAGGAAACAAAAATACATTTACTCATTTTACACATTAAATCTCTCACTTGTGCATATCAAACTGTATGTCATTAGCCTTGTCCACCATACCTGTTTCAGTAACTAATTCAAGTCCCAACTCGTTATAGTCCCCGGATTATAGAAAATTTGAGAGCTTTAACACTTGATGTTCCGAATTCTCGTAAGTGAACTAGTGGGAGCTAAACCAACTGATGTTCCAAACTCACAATAATCAAGAGCTACGTATGGTAGACCATTGCAGAAGCCTAGATCCAAGAAAATTTGAGTGAGTTATTTTTGCTTCCAATGGAATCAGAACGTCGAGATTTCTGACAAAATAAATGTCGGCTCCTCCATCTACAAATCACAGATAGATTTCCAGATGCGGTTGCAACGATGAGGTTGCAGCTGAGTGTTTTTTGCTCAACTGGGATTTGGCGAATTCGGGATCAAACATCATTATACAATGCCATCATTTTGACACACAACTGATCAGATCAGAACCGGAAAATTTGGACATAATATTTAGTTTCACGTTTCAAGCAAGTGCTTGTTTCATCGTCCCTCTGGTTTTTATGTATAGATCCTAGTCACTAGAACACTTTAGCGCTAAATGTGGGTTGAGGTTAGAGCATTCCAACAAGATTAGTTAAGTTCTGCTTTGTATGACCACCGCATCGAGAAATTCTCCATTGTTCACCCCAAGTCATATTACATGTTGGTTTTCTTCGTTACTTTGAATGACTAAAATTGAAGTCCAGTAATAGGTGTAGGGCAGGTTATTTTGTACGGCTGGTTGCATTCAACGAGAGTCTATATGTTTGTGTTGCCGCACAACCATATAAGGTCTGCTTGTCGAACCTTAGAATTTGTTATGCGATGTTGCAGATTTCACACATGCCATAACACGTGTTTAGTTACTAATATTACGTTATAAATGGATCAATCTTGTAGTTCATCAATGTCATAAAACACAATACAGAACATATTACAAAGTACTACCACACACAAAGTTATATTTGCATTTTGCACCTTGTGTAAGCTTTTGACTGGTAATTTCTCCACACCTCGTTTTTATGGCCTATTTTGTTTCCTCGTTTCAAAATTCTAAAACGGGGTTTAGGGATGCTTTTCTTATCCACCCAGTTTTACCTTCGGACACACACAACTACAGACATCGATACAAGAACCTTTTCTACATCCTATCGATATAGTACAACGGCTCCACAAAAACACAATGGCAAGCTCGAAACTAAAGGATCAGATCGCGGTTTGGTTGGATCAAACTGAGCAGCCGACTGTCTTTCGGATTAGGAAGTATCCGATTACTTCCTAATCGTGTTGTTGAGAAGTCACTACCTTTCTTTCTCACTGATCGTCATGCTTTTCGCTCCGGCAAAGCCACGTTCTAGAGAGAACTGAGAGATGTAGTGGCTATTTTCAGCCAAAGAGCACATCGAAAGTCCTCGTTGATTCCTCCAGCATGATTTTCCGATCAGCTATGACGCACGTGGGGCAATTGCGGAGGATTAGGACTAATTAAATTTGCCCATAAGTTCGCCAGTTTCAACAAGTAGTTTTCCCCATTCCACATCACCATTTTAACACCTGAAACATACAAACAAAACTAATACATTAAAAAGAGCAGAAACACAAAACATAGGTTCGAGATGACTACGAAAAATGGCGAGCATTTCATATGTGAAAATGTAGTATGTTGCTTGCCTTGCACATTTACTAGTGAGCGGGTGCGCCTAAACTGCTAATGGTGTTATGACACTTTTCTTGAGAGAAAAAAGACCGAGTGTACCAGATGACGTAAACCAAGTATGCATCTCAGGAATCCTAGTTTATCACCCAAGAGAGTAAAGACCAAACTACCAACGGTTTCAAGATACTAAAGCTGATGAAATGTAAAACTGAAAAAAGGACTATTTCAAACTCACTATAGTAAGTATCTCTAAAAATTAAGGGCTCGTTTGGAAGTGCTTTTAAAATGACTAAAAGCGCGCTTTTAGGGAAAAACATTTGGGTTCCAAAAGCACTTCCTCGAAGAAGCATCAGTTATGTGCTTCTTGAAGGAAGCACCTCAAGTGCTTTTGGATTGGTACCAAAAACATTTTCACCAAAAGTGCTTTCAGCCATTTTAAAAGCACTTACAAAAGAGCCCTAAAAAATTTCCATAACGTTACTAGTTTGACTCAAATAATCAAATTCTTAATGAGACACGAAAAAGAAATTGGTGTCTGGTAAGGATCATTCAAGTGGACAAAAGTTTACAGGACGTGTACAATGCAAGCACCAACAGACTTGAGAGAGCTCTCTGGCATGGCCAGGTGTAGTGAAATAACGGTGATCAAAAATCAACTTCTGCATACCTGGCACGGCTCCTGCAGTTAATAGTGACAGAGAACAAATAGGTTCTTGGTCATTAACAACAACTTGGTTTTCGAGAGCAAATGCATCGAGATGATGAATATATGTCATGGAATCTAGTAGTTCCGCAATGGTCCCATCATATTTAAAATCAACTGCATCTGAAATGCTCTTGAGAGCTTCATCGAGTCCCGAACTTGACCATAAAGTAGAGCACTCATTTAGAAGAGAAAAAAAGCTAGAACAGTCTGAAGAATGTAATAGAATCCATGACTTGTAAAGTTTGGCAGACGCTTCGAAAACTAAAACTACTCTGTAAATTTCTCCAAGGGAAAGGATATACTGCTTGCCTGTGTTTTCAAAAATGATAAAACAAAAAAGTAATCACAAAATTTGTAAAGTAACA